CTCAGTGCGGAGTTGAACAACAAACAAAACAAAAAACTAAGACTACAGCTAGTATTTCCAGCTGCCTTTGAAGATGATAGTGTATTCGTTAGTTAGAGTTTGTGTGTTGATGAAAGAGGGGGGTCCTTGAAGTGATGGATGCAAGAATTTCTTGGCCTCCGACCAACATCCTGTCATCACTGTACAACAGAACCAGGGTGTTCTTCTTGTCTGTTCTGTCACTGAAGAAAGTGTGGAACTGTCAGACCTCCAAGTTTGGTGCTGTCAGTAGGTTTAACTCACAAAGTATGGCACTTGGTCCCTGACCTGTTTCAAACCGAGTGAGTCTGGCTTAATGCCTCTTTGAACAATACTTCCGTAATGTTATGGTGTGCCTTCTTGATGTGGGAGGAAAGCCCAAGTTTTGCAGATCTTAGATGTTTGTCACTTTGGCGAAACCCACGGGGTATTGTGATGACAAACCTAGAAAAATAATCAGGCTGAACCGGTGAGGTGAGGTGAAATGGGGTATAACATCGCGTCCAAGATTATTGCATTTATATAGCGACATGCATGTATGTGTGTGTGTTTGTGTGGCTGCTTGTACTAGTCCGGACTGATGCCGATTTATGGTGCTAGCTCACTGAGATAACATGCCACAGTTTAACATGAATACCCCACTCAGACAGAGTGTACTGACTCTGAGCCGACCAGTCCTTGTTTTAGCCCCTTAATGCTGAGCGCAAGACAGGGTAGCAACAAGTACCATCTTTTAACGTCTTTTGGTATGACGCGGTCAGGGATCGAACCCCGGACCTTCCGCTATCCGGGCGGACGCCCTACCACTAGACCATGGAGGCGGTCATCAGGCTGAACCCATGATTGAAAGTTTCTGGCATGTCTAAGGGTTGCAACTCTGTACAAGGAGCATCAGTCAGACAGCAGCCATTGTGACATATGAGATGATTTCATTACATAGAGAACATTATACGAGCATGTGTGTCATACTGATTTTACGAAACAAGTGTCGGAATTCTTGTATTTTCCGAGCGAGAGCAAGGGTAATGCATGAATACTTACACAAGTAATCAGTATGACACACAAGCAAATGTAATTGTTTTATTTCCCATTATTTCTTTATCCTTTACTTGGATATTTCTAACCCTATGTGTCATATAGGACATTATTAACTATTGCCATAGTATTGCAGTTGTAACATTGTTCCTAGTCCTAACATTGTTGCTTGGTCAGGCACAGATACTAGTTGTAACACTGCAAATTTTCAGATTAAACACTACCACTAGCCTCAGACTAGTGAAAATGAGGAATAACAACAGTTTCTGTTTTGTCCCCTTATCTGGTAGTGTTACATCAACCACAAGCCTGAAATGAGCCTTGGACATGGATATAATTAGTGGTCCATGGTGTGATGTCAATTGTCTATCTTGACATTGTAATTGATGGTAATTGATGGTGCTCCAGTGAGGCTGAATGAACGCACCGTTTCGCAAACACCTGGTATCTTCACTCGTGATTCATGAACACATGCTGATGATATTGCTGGAATCATACAATGAACTCTTGTATATCTTGGGTATCTTGTGATTATGGAAAGTTTTTTTTTCATTTAATTAACACCATGAAGAACGTGGAGACATTGTCTTGTGTGATTGTGATTGGGTATACATTAATTTAAACTAATATACATCATAACATTTGAACCAGCAGACCAAGAATATTTTGCTGAAAGGATTCAGAATCATGGACTCCTGGCCCCTTGATTGCAATTGTTGGATGATTATCTTTAGGACCAGTGAACTATTTACTCAACTGTTGGTCTTTTTTGCTTGCATAATGTTCATCACAAGTATCCGTATAGTCTGTCTCCTAGTCCCTGAACCATACTTTTTTCCCTTATTCAAAGGCCTTGCTGTAGTTCTATAGCCCTAAATGAAGCAAGTCTAGATCTTCCACAGGTTCTGAAACACCCATCTCACTGGGGCTCTTTTTCACATTTAAATGCAACTGCTTGTTTCTATGAAAATTATGTATTTTGAAAGACTAAGCTTTAGTCTAGTATCAGTAGTGTAATGCATCATTGACTCTGACAGCTTCTATCTCAACCTTCCATTGATGTATTGCCATTGGCCATGAATTTTTACTAATTGTATTCTCATGAATCAAATAGCTACAAGATTGCTGATAGACCACAAAGCAATAATCACTTCTATGAATCTTAATAGATCCTCTCAGACTTATGGCCTGGGAGTTCGGTGCAGGAACTCCCTGAAGTTCGGTCCGAGCTGCCTCACATGTGTTAGGGATCCTGTAGGTAGGGATATATAGGTATATATTTTGTATATGCAAGCTATTTTCTGCCACTGTTTATCCATGGCATAGGGCCTGGGTTGGGTGTTTATTGAAGTGGAATTGAGTGACCAGCCATGCTATGTGAACTGCAAATAGGAAACAAAAGTTTATTTTCTTTACTGGAAAGATCCAGATGGAGGAAATGTGTGATTGACCCGTGTTCCGAGAAAGTACACATTTGTTTGGATCATCGGATAGTTTTACCACCCTGCTGCCACGACAATACATGTCATGTTTAGACGTTATGATGAATTTATTCTGGGTAATTTAACCCAAATGGAGACCTGTTGAGACGTACGTGTCTCCAAGTTACGCAAGTCCCTGAGAACAACCAGGCTCTGTATCAGTTGGGGATCTACATTGTTATGTGATGGTCTGCCTGCGTCAAGGCCTGCATTTCTACCTGGTGCTGCAACTGGAGATGGAGCACTTCATCCTTGAGTGTACCAGGAAGATCCACAAAGCACAGAAATAGTCTTCAAGTCATTAGAGAGTTGGCACCCAGTAGGAGGGGCACCTGTCTGCTGTATATTGATGTCAAATCAGAGTTCTTTTTTCTTTTGGTTGTTGTTCTTGTTCTTGTTTAACGTCACACTCAGTGGCTATTCCAACCATATCATGCCAGTCTGTAAATAATTGAGTCTGAACAATCCAGTGATTGATATTGTGAGCAACGATCCACGCAGTCATGGTACAATAACATGCAATCAACCAAATCACTGATTACCCAATCTATTCTCTTACAACCAGCATGGCTTGTTCTACTCTATAAAGAACCAACTGGAAATTCTCTCTGTGTTATTTAATTGGGGTATGTAAAATTTAAAAGGTGAAAATATGTTTTGTAATTGATAGAAGATCAATTACATAAGCTCAAAAAAAATTTTTTTTTCAAAAGACTGAAGGTTCTAAAATGCAAAAAGTGCTGAGTGGGAATAGTGCTGGGTGTGAATAGTGCTCAGTATGAAAAGTGCTGAGTGTGAATAGTGCACAGTATGAATACTGCTGAATGTGAATAGTGCTCAGTATGAATAGTGCTGAATGTGAACAGTGCTCAGTATGAATAGTGCTGGGTGTCATAAGTGCTGGATGTGAATAGTGCTGAGTCTGAATAGTCCTGGGTGTGAATAGTGCTGAATGTGAATAGTGCTCAGTATGAATAGTGCTGAATGTGAATAGTGCATAGTATGAATAGTACAAAGTATGAACAGTGTTGGGAATGAAAACCACTTATTCACACTGATGACACGCTCTGGATAATTTACAATTTGATTTACAACTTCCTATGTGCACAGAATGGATCCTTAGTACTCCATGCATGTTGTCAGAAAATCGGTGTACAATATGAGATCTGTCTGACCGTGTCATCCTGTCCCAAACACATGATATGTTGCTTATACATAGACCCACTGGTCTGGCCATTCACAAGACACTGTCCCCTTGGGGATTCCAGATTGGAATAGGTCCCCGGCAAACCATGCTGGATGTAAGAGGCAACCAAATGTATCAGGTTGTGGGAGGCTCAGTGTTGTATCCCAACAGTGAGGATCTTTGTTCATAATATCAATCACTGGATTGTCTGGTTCACCTTATGGTTATTTACAGGTCGTCAAATAGGTGGAATATTGCTGAGTGCATTATTAAACTACAAACAGACAAAACAGAGGAAATTGATATATACACTGTAGTTGCAACATAATGCAATATTCATTCAGTCACTTTTCCACCACTGCAAGGATCTTTGGAAACACAAAGCAGCCTTAAACCCAAATCTCCCGCTGTGGAAACATGTGTTATAAGATTATATACACCAGTTAAGGTGCACCTCTTTGAAAGGAATATGCCTGTATTCTGTATGCACTACATGAAACACCGGTGCTCAAAATACGCCTGTGACTAAATGCATACAGGTTATAGCATCTGTCGAAGCTAATGTCATGTTAACTTCATTTATTATCCTAGCACTGTCAAAAACGTTTTTGTATAATTTCTTTTTCACTTTCTGCGGCACACTGCCAAGGGAAGTGTATTTTACATTATTTATGTTTCTGGGGTTGTCTTCACGTGTTTCCACATCCCATGTCAGCGTGTGCTGAAGGTATTGACGATAGCAACACAGGAAGCGATTATCTTTACTGTGAAACACATACAATGTACGTCTATCTATACCAGGAGGGATGCAAGTCAGGTGGTTATGACATTATATGATAGACCAGACTGTTTCAAAATTACCTGCTATGTTAAACATGTCCATTGTGATGTTTTATGGTCAGGATATGATTGGATGTCATGTCAGGTGATCAGCTCTATGTGGCCCTGTGGTAGGTGTGTTAGCTTGTTTTGTCGATTGTGTGGGTTTATTTCATTCACAGACAGATTGAATTTGTTTTGTTTTCAGACATTTTGTTTTCTCGACATCTGCTGTTGGAAATTTCTGTTTAATATTTCTATATTATTCACATCAGTTGAGGAAGTAATGATGATCCAGAGTTGTGTCCCTTTGTTCTCAACACGATCCACTAGTTTGGTAATGGGCAAGGATGATGTATTTCCGTGTCGAAATACCAATATCATTTGAAGATGAAATTTGTGTAAATATCAGTCTTAATGAAGATGAAATAATCAGTTATTTGATGGTTTGTGTGTTTCAGAATGTAAAGTGTGTTTGAGCGGTGTTCGGCGCGGAGATGATGACCAGTGATGTTGACAATGACTACAAGGCGCTGGAGAACTACATCCTCAAAATCCAGGTAGGTCCATACCTGGGGTGTGATGTACTGAGTCTGTAACCCCTTTGGGATTCAGGGTTAGAATTGGTCCTGAGCAGCCCATGCTGGTCATAAGAGGCGTCCAAATGGATCGGGTGGTCAAGCTCAGCGACTTGGTTGATGGTATGACATTGTACCCAAATCGCGTGGATTGTGTTGTCCACAATATCAGTCACTGGATTGCCTGGCAGAATTTTGCTGAGTGCAGCGTTAAACAACAACCAAAAAAGCTGAGCATGGACAGTGAAATCTGGCTAAGCTGGACCAGTTTGCGGCACCGAAAGTGTAGTCTTGTTTAGACAGATGTAAAGATTATTCAGGAAATAAATATATTTTTTTTATCATTGTAAAATCATTTGATCATTGTTACTTAGAAGATGATATGTTAAATGATAGAAGAACTTGCTGTTTCCGTGCCTGGCGCTTGGCATTAAGGGGCTAAAACAACGACCGATTGGTTCGAAGTCTGTATACTGTGTGTGAGTGGGTATCCATGTTAAACTGCAGCATCTCAGCAGGATAGCACTATAAAACAGGCATTCGTCCAGACAAGTACAAGCAGACACACACACTCCATCTTCCTACGGCAAGGGAGATAACTGACTATAAAAGTCCAATTTCCACCCTTGCCGAATAATGGAATAATGGCGTTATATTTTGGATGGACTAATGAGCCTGTGCATAGTCCAATCAAAATCACTCAACAAAATTGACATCCTGTTCGTAAACTGCCGTGCAGATATCAGTCGCATGCAGGATTTGCAAAGTATATGTACCACCAACTGGGCATTGACAGATATTTTCAAAATCTTTTCATGTTTTTAATCATGGTGCTCAAATGAGCTGATGCGCTTCGCGAGGTAAGATCCGTTTATCACAATATAGATTTTGATTTCGATCAGATAGGCTTGATTTGGTGCTGCAATTTTGTTTGAAGCATAATGAGAGAGGGAATCTAATTGGTCAATAGGAGGGACATAGAAGGCACATAACTCGTAATAGCCATCTAGCCCAGAAATTCCAGATGCTGGAATTTTATAGTCAGTTAACGCCCTTGCCTCGGGAAGATGCACACGTACATACACCTGCATATAATAGTGATGATATATAGTAGCAACTTCTGTTGTATGCCCATGTTAAAGTATGGTAGTTATGTTTCAAGTAAGTCTAATGTGAACAACATGGAAAACATGGGAACAAAATGAGATTACAAAAGAGATTACATTGTCGAATGGGCGTTCGGAACAACATGGGGATTGCATTGTCGAATGAGAAAAACATAGAGATTGCGTTGTCGAATGGGGCCCAAGACAAACTCACCTATCTATTACAGTAACGAAATACTATTCACCATGAAACTAATTCAGATTTTTGTAAGACTGGGAAGAATTCAGGGACTATACTCATTTATCGCTTTTCTCTGAACCTTTAATTAGAAAAAGCTTAAAATTACAAAAAGCATCAAGTTTTAAGTAGGAAGAAATAGTTTTTGTTTGAAGTAATAAAGGCAATGACATCCCACCTGGTATAGCATGCATTTCACCATGGCAGACAAGCAGCGCTGTGCAGCAGCCAATCAGAGTGCTGCCTGCTGCTGATGCTGGTTATCACTGGAGATATCTTGACAAATATAGGCATCAGTTTCCTCACTAAGGTAGATAAAGATAAGCTTCGTGTTAAAAGTGAAATTGTAAATGAGAACCATGTGTTGTCACTTAAACATTTCCTTTCACTAAAAAATAATACATGTAAAAACAAGTGAAGGGAAGACATTAAAACATGAATATAGTGAGGTTGTTATTGTGTTTTGTGTGTGTCAGTATACGTGTGTAGATATGTATGCAACTGGTAGGGAAGGACATGCTTAACTTTTAACATCTGGTGTTGTCACTGATTTTCAGTAATACATTCATATACTTTTCACTGCTATTTTGCCTTTTATGCCCAGTGGAATCTCTCGTCGGATAATCACAACTGTTTAATCTCTGGCTATTGACATTTTATGCCAGAGATTCTGATAGAAGCATTATCGGCTTTTACAGAATGTTAATTTTTTCTTAGAAGGTTTATCTTATTATAGTTTCATTACCAAAAGTGTTCTTAATTTCAATATTGGCGGTAGCCTAGTGGTTAAAGCATTTGCTCGTCATGCAGAAGATCTGGGTTCAATTCCCAAATGGTTACAATGAGTGAAGCCCATTTCTGGTGTCCCCCACCATGATATTGCTGGAATATTGCTAAAAGCGGCGTAAAACCATACTCACTCACACACTTAATTTCAATAGCAGAATGTACACAAATGTGATGTGTGACAGTATGTATGACTATGGGTAGGTTTATCCAAAGATTTCAACAGACCCTGTCTTTAATGTTGAATATTTGAATCTGGTATTTTCCCTTTTTAACTCTAATTATACTTTCTCAAAGCAAAAGCTTAAATAAAACCATCTGGCAAGTGAAATACATATCTCCCTGACATGGCTGGATGTTATTGGAGAAATGTTCCTGCCATTTTGTCTCCAATATCAACTGTGTCAGTTTCAGAAAGGGTCATAATTTGACATATTGTGTACAACATGACAACGTTTTGATATGAACATTGTAAATGTGTAAGATATTTATTGTATAACATTCCATGGAGAAGCAGTGGCAATATTGTACAAATATACACCGTGACTACAAGACACACAGATACATTCCAGATACAAAGGAGGTACTTTCATACAATGTCATTTTAAAACAAATGTAATGTAATGATATGGAAACATGAGAATTGACAAAATTTTGGTAATGCTGTCCATAGAAGAAATTTAGTAAAAATTGTAGAAATGAGAACAGATCTTGGAGATTATTTCTGGGTAAATGTTGGTAAAAATATTGAGAATTGTGCAAGTGTCCAAATTCTTCATGATGATTGAGGATTTTTTGGAGAGTAGATTCTCTTTCTTGATTATATGGGGGCACGGGTGGCCCACTCGTCTAAGGCGCCACGATTCGCTGTGCAGAGTTGTGTCCCTTGGGCACGCCAGAAACCTATGATTGTGGGTTTGAATCCCGGTTCTCCCGATTATGTTTCTAGGTTTGTCAGCACCATACCCGTGCTCGTGGGTTTCACCGAAGTGGTAAACATCCGAGACCTGCATCACTTCGGGCTTTCCTCCCACACCCAGCTGACACGCCGTGATATAACCGGAATACTGTTAAAAGCGGCGTTAAACCCAACTCACTCACTCACGCAATAATTGATTATATTTTGTACATGACAATGCATCTATTGATAATCCTCCAAGACGTAACATGGGGTACAGATATGTTATGATGAGGTTGGGTTTTGGATCAGGATGTATATCTACCGGATTCAATTATCTATATATGTATATACTTAGTTACATGTATATGAGCATCCCTGTCGTAGTCGAGGCAGGTATGAGGGTAATAATTACAGGTGACATTAATTGAACACTGTTATTTGCACAACAACCCTAAGTCCTGCACCATGACTGTGGAATACCGGGGACATATAGAGTAGGAAAACAAAACCACTCTAGATATATGTAAAAAGCAAGTCTAGCCAGCTCTATGCCACATATGAAATCAGCATCAGGAAAACTGTTTGTTTTAAGGTAGAGAGTTTATGGATGTCAACTTCTTTATTATGAGGAACACATTTCAGAGTATATGCTTATTCCTTCATCAGGTGAATGAATGCGATGAGGCAGAGAGCATATATATGTACCTGTAAGAACAACAAAAGTAATTAGATATCTAAACGTGTCAACAGATAATGGACACTGATAGGTGATTAGCAATGGAAGCAAACACTTAACAGTATTTGTTTAAGTTTTTTAGCAGTGAAATCTATTGTGTAATAAAAGATTTCACAGACTATGTGTTGGTCTAGACGACGCAGTAAGTAATGTATATCTTCCTTATGTGGTTAAGCAACATGCAGCATGTTAGTTTCCATCATGGATGACCTACCTGAAGATGTTTGGGGTAACAGCCCCATGTTTGTCAGTAGTCGCTAAAGTGGATGCTCTCGTCGTGAAGAATGCTGACCACATGGCCCCTGTGCCGGTGGCTCACCACCTGGCCAGATGAACTCTCCTCTCGACCTGATGAGCCACCTGGCCAGATGAGGTGAGGTGAAATGGGCGTCGCGTCCAAGATTATTGCACTTATATAGCAACGTGCATGTACGTGTGTGTGTTTGTGTGGCTGCTTGTACTAGTCCGGACTGATGCCGATTTATAGTGCTAGCTCACTGAAATACCATGCTGCAGTTTAACATGAATACCCCACTCAGAGACAGTATACTGACTCTGAGCCGACCAGTCCTTGTTTTAGCCCCTTTATGCCGAGTGCCAGACAGGGTAACAACAAGTACCATCTTTTAACGTCTTTTGGTATGACCTGGCCAGATGAACTCTCCTCTCAACCTTACGTAGCATCCTCAATCTGTGATCCTTATCCCCATCTGGATGTTTTAAACATATCAGATGGGTACATTTATTGGGAATATTCTTTTATTTGTGGAACTTTTGTTTGAAGGCAGGAAGTCCTGTGAATTATTCAGGTTGCTATGCATTATGTTGGACATGCTTGTATAATATGTCTTATAGCCCCTCTCTGCATTGATATACTTTACCTTACCTTACTAAGGCATAATGTAAAAGATCCGGGGCAGATTAGGTCTGCTGCAGCTCATGCTTGTCGTAAAAGGCGACAAATGGGATCGGGTGATCAGACTCACTTGATTGATGTATGTCATCATATCCCAATTGCGTGGATCGATGCTCATGATGTCTATCACTGGATTGTCTGGTCCAGACTCGATTATTTACAGACCGCTCTCATATAGCTGGAAAAACTGTGGTGGGGGCTGGGGTGCCCTCGTTGTATCCATGAGAGGACTGGTTTGTTAAAATGTGTTTTAAGCAAAACCTGAAACTGTGTTGGGATTCTGTCATAATTAAGTGATAACATCAGCCCAGCTGCAGGAGAACCCATGTTCTACAAATGTAGATGTGACATATCTCACTGTGGGTTCTTGTCATGCCTAAAGACTTGTGTAAGTCTCACAGCTTGCCAGCTGGGGTTTGGGAGTGGCACAGGAGAACCACTTGTTATCAGAAATTGACACTGATAAATGTGGAACAGGAAACTTAGGAACGAGGCACATGGAACTGAGGGAACTTGTTTTCGGCCCTCCCATGGAGTGGAGCAGTATATTTCAAGACTGTTAACTTGTTAAGATAGTAATTGATTAATAGAATTAGAATGGCTCCTAAATGTTATCAATGGCTCCAGAAAACGTTCATGTGAGGCCATCTGGGTCCAAGCAGAAAAATAAGTTAAAATAGGCGTCTTTGTCCTGCTGCTTAATATGCATCACTGATTACCTGTGGGGTAGTTGGGTAGCCTAGTGGTTAAAGCGTTTGCTTATTTGTCCACAGACGAGTGTTCGATTCCCAACAATGGCACAGTGCATGAAATTCATTCTCTTTTCCCAGAAAGGCAGTATTGCTGGAATATTGCTATGAACAACAAAAACAATTCACTTACAGATGACCAGGGTCTGTGATTTTAGTATGATGAGGTACCGTCACTGCACTGGCCAGTGATAAACTCCACAATGATGTTAGCCTCCTTCGTGGTCTATTTGATAGGTAGTCTAGTTGGAGAGCGAAAGGTCGGTGGTTCAATCTCAGACCATGTCATACCAAAAGTTGTTGTTACCCTGCCTGGCGCTCAGCATTGAGGGTATAAAACATGGCCAAGTTAGCTTGGAGTCAGTAGGCTAGCACAATAAAACTGGCATTTTTCCAGACTCGTACAAGCAGATGTACACACATGTGTTGCTACGTAAGTGCAATAAACTTGAAGACAACGTTAAACACTATTTCACCTCACGTCAGTTCACCATAATTTTTCTGAGACATTGTTGATCAGGATATGAGAGTGAGTGAGTGAGTGAGTGAGTGAGTATGGTTTTACGTCGCTTTTAGCAATATTCCAGCAATATCACAGCAGGGGACACCAGACATGGGCTCACTCATTGTACCCATGTGGGGAATCGAACCCGGGTCTTCAGCATGACGAGGACGCTTTAACCACGAGTCTACCCACCACCCCCAGGATATAAGAGATCCTGTACTACTTTGAAATTCACCATGACATGTCATGGACATTGCTGACAATGATGTAATTTGTGTTTTCAGGGGGAAATATGTGAGGCCATATCAAATGTTACCGATGACTTAAAACGTGAAATTGCCGAGGATGTACGTGTTGATAACGTGACCAATCAGAAGCCAGGTAACAAAAGCGAGGAATCTAACAACAATTCCCAATGGATAAATTCAAATCATTCAAGTGGCGGAGAAAAGGATAGTTGTGTCGTGGAAGAGGGTAGCGGTCGCCCGTCGCGGGAGTTGAGTCGGCAGTCCAGCAAGGAAGGATATCGCTACTGTTGCATTGACAGTGACTGCTGTGATAAAGAGCCAGACGCAGAGCAGCATCATGGAGACAAAAAGGTAATTTGCAACCTCATCTTCAGTTATCCAGGGTATTATATCTCCATTCTGTTATCATTAAGTACCTTGGAGCAATTTGCTCCTATAGTTCTGTTGGAAAGTGAAATCACCATCTCTCCTTTCAGTAACCTGGCTGTGTTTATGTAACATGTCTTCATACCCACCTCATGAGGCTTAATGCTCACACTATTGACCACTGAACTGGTTGAGTAAGCATGTCATCACACCCACCTCATGAGGCTTAATGCTCACACTATGAACCACTGGACTGGTCCAGTTAGCATATCATCATACCCATCTTGTGAGGCTTAATGCTCATGCTATCGACCACTGAACTGGTTGAGTTAGCATATCATCATATCCATCTTGTGAGGCTTAATGCTCACACTATCAACCACTGAACTGGTTGAGTTAACATATCATCATACCCATCTTGTGAGGCTTAATGCTCACACTATCAACCACTGAACTGGTTGAGTTAGCATATCATCATACCCATCTTGTGAGGCTTAATGCTCACACTATCAACCACTGAACTGGTTGAGTTAGCATATCATCATACCCATCTTGTGAGGCTTAATGCTCACACTATCAACCACTGAACTGGTTGAGTTAACATATCATCATACCCATCTTGTGAGGCTTAATGCTCACACTATCAACCACTGAACTGGTTGAGTTAGCATATCATCATACCCCATCTTGTGAGGCTTAATGCTCACACTATCAACCACTGAACTGGTTGAGTTAGCATATCATCATACCCCATCTTGTGAGGCTTAATGCTCACACTATCAACCACTGAACTGGTTGAGTTAGCATATCATCATACCCATCTTGTGAGGCTTAATGCTCATGCTATCGACCACTGAACTGGTTGAGTTAGCATATCATCATATCCATCTTGTGAGGCTTAATGCTCACACTATCAACCACTGAACTGGTTGAGTTAACATATCATCATACCCATCTTGTGAGGCTTAATGCTCACACTATCAACCACTGAACTGGTTGAGTTAGCATATCATCATACCCATCTTGTGAGGCTTAATGCTCACACTATCAACCACTGAACTGGTTTAGTTAGCATATCATCATACCCATCTTGTGAGGCTTAATGCTCACACTATCAACCACTGAACTGGTTGAGTTAACATATCATCATACCCATCTTGTGAGGCTTAATGCTCACACTATCAACCACTGAACTGGTTGAGTTAGCATATCATCATACCCCATCTTGTGAGGCTTAATGCTCACACTATCAACCACTGAACTGGTTGAGTTAGCATATCATCATACCCCATCTTGTGAGGCTTAATGCTCACACTATCAACCACTGAACTGGTTGAGTTAGCATATCATCATACCCCATCTTGTGAGGCTTAATGCTCACACTATCAACCACTGAACTGGTTGAGTTAGCATATCATCATACCCATCTTGTGAGGCTAAATGCTCACACTATCAACCACTGAACTGGTTGAGTTAGCATATCATCATACCCATCTTGTGAGGCTTAATGCTCACACTATCAACCACTGAACTGGTTGAGTTAGCATATCATCATACCCCATCTTGTGAGGCTAAATGCTCACACTATCAACCACTGAACTGGTTTAGTTAGCATATCATCATACCCATCTTGTGAGGCTTAATGCTCACACTATCAACCACTGAACTGGTTGAGTTAGCATATCATCATACCCATCTTGTGAGGCTTAATGCTCACACTATCAACCACTGAACTGGTTGAGTTAGCATATCATCATACCCATCTTGTGAGGCTAAATGCTCACACTATCAACCACTGAACTGGTTGAGTTAGCATATCATCATACCCATCTTGTGAGGCTAAATGCTCACACTGGAGAAGGTGGTGTAACTTTGCAAAATATTTTAGTCAAGAAACTACCATGCTTGCCGTAAAAGGCATGTCATCATATCCCAATTGCGTGGATCGATGCTCATGATTTCAATCACTGGATTCTCTGGTCGAGACTCGATTATTTAAAGACCGCTGACATATAGCTGGAATATTGCTGAGTGAGGCATTAAACAACAAACAAACAATCAAACATCATTTATAAACCATAGATCAGAATGGGATTGCATAAATGAATAACAAATGAATATATAAGTGCATATATACTTTCCAAGTTGATGCCTCTTGAAGACACTGTCAACCTCTTCTTCATAACTGAGTTTCTAGAACCAAGATGAAGAAAGATTTGACAAGTGCCTCTCATGTGTCTTGAACATTGTTGTCATTTCCATTCATGTTATGGTTCCAATTTTGTCCTTATCAATAAGATGGTGTCTTCATGAATTGCTGGTCTCTGTTTGAGTGTTCATGATATAATCCTCCTCAGATCTCCATGCACCCAACAAGTATGGTCGTCATGATAATTAAGGTACGACTACTCTCACTGATCACCAGCATAATAAAACACTGGAAATGCTTTTTGATAAGTTGTAATGAACCTCTTCAGATGAACTATTTCATATTCTCGAGAGGAATAAAACTTGTCATCAGCATGCTAAGAACCCCACCCCACCCCCCACCCCCAATGATGTGTTAAGCTGTTCAATACATGCAACTTTACTTTACATTAAAGAACGTTTCAGAGCTGAACATTTACGAAAAGAGCCAGCTATATTGGTAGTTACATGTCTGCACGTTGTGACCCAACAGCCACATGTGAGACATCACTCGTCCCCATTACATATACCTACAGAAGTATCTTCAGTTTCACAAGTTTTCAATGGGAAGCACATGTCCTCTCATGTTGGTTCACAGTTCTTTGTGAATCATTTCCTGATATAGTTCTCCCCTCATCCACACCTGGGCCAGGGGAGGGAGCCCAGGTTACATAAGTACACGTGTGCGTCTCCTCTTGTCTGCAGTGTTCCACTCCTCAGATCGGTTGTATAGGGTCAGTAAACAACCAGCCATGTTGGCCTCTTGTTTAGAGTCATTGGGTGAATATTGCTGTACACAAACTGTCTGCCATATTCCAGCTGAAAGTCTTCACGATAGAATGAATTTTAAAAAATGAATCAAACTCAAGTCTAGATTGCCTTAGAACAGAAACCATAACATAATTATTTTATGGTCTCTGCTCAGAATGAAGCAGTATCAGCTGGGCTCCATCTGGATTTTACTTTTTATTTTGTGGATTACATATTTATAAATAATATAACACTATTTTGGGGACTAAATAATTGAGTCTGGACAAGGCAAACCGGTGATTGAAAGCATGAGTCAGTATACTGTGTTTGAGTAGGGGAATATGTCAATATGGCATGCATGGTATCACAGTTGGCCAGCACTATAAAACTGGCATGATTCAAACTAGTACGAGCAGATGCATGCATGTACTGTCTCTACAGAAGTGCAATAAACTTGAAGGCAACATTAAGCCCAAGATCTGGACAAGAACAAGCAGCCATCTACATGCACATTGCTCTACAAGTGAAAGAAACTTTAACTCGACGTTAAACCAAAATTTTACCTCTCCACAACTGACTTCATACTTGTTATGGGAAATAACCAAAATGCAAGCCTCAGTAAAGGGCCTAAAGTAACCCACTGACTTCGGTTTCAAGCAGAAGTTTACTTATTCTGAGATGGGTACCTGTAACTTTTAACTCCAGATGATATAATGAAACTTTCCTCCCTCATTAAGCTGACATGCTGTGATATAACTGGAATAATGTTAAAAGCGGTGTTAAACCCAACTCACTCACTCATTCATTCATGTTACTATTGTCATGCCTCTGTCATGCAATGACAGATTAACTGTAGCGCTATGAAAGAATCAGGGGGTCCTTACCTTCATTTGAGTAGTATACAATTTTTTGGATAGTGTGGTTCCATTTCACACCAAGTCTAATTGTTTTTATCCCTCATTTGGTATTTATTTGCTACAGAGTTCTATTAGCAATGGTGCCAACAGTGGAATAATTCACTTTGTCCTGTGGTTGGCATGGTCACTTGTCACAGAAAGATCTCAGTTCAGTGCCAAGTGAATCCCACTTTTTGTATCTGCTACAGTGGCAGACATCACCAGCAGTGATGGCTATGTCATAAGTCACTGTGATTCATGCTGGCTGTGTTTGAAAGAAGGGATTATGAGTCTGGAAATGTGCTAGATTAACATGATATATGAGCAATAAAGATGTAGATTACCCAAATAATTTAAATATATTACTCAAATATAAATCATTGCATTCCAAGTGTCCAGAAATGTTTCTACACTTAGACTTGTTACCAAGGAGGCTAACACATGTCATGTGTTGGCAGTTAATTTTCGAAAGCAAGATTCTTTTCAAAAGATATGACTGGTGTGAAATAGCATCTTCTTCACAATTCACTGTTGGCAAGTCATTCTCCAAGCAAAGTTATAGAAAAGACACAATACGATTGGCCTGAAATAGCATTTTATTCAACCAATGACAACTGTTGACCATTCATTCTCAAAACAAAGTTCTAGAAAAGACACAATATGATTTGCCTGATATAGCATATCTTATTCAACCATCGACAACTTCAGTGTTATAAGGACCAGTTGTAAGAACGTAGACACCAATACATCATCATTATTATTTAGTGTGAAATGTAAACCTAATCCATGTTTCATCTGGCCTAATGGTCTCAGAGCAAGTATTTTCCCAGAGGTGTGATATATCGTGATATATACCATCTTGATAACAGATATATGAGTTATTTCATGTACCAAGTTCAGCAGGCACATGCCACACAGAGACAGGCTGTCTCATTGCCATTTACAGATAGCTAATCTGTCTGATCTTGTGGAGTTCCTCTCAATATAGCACTAATGATTGGGAAATACTAGAATATGATGGGAAAGTGAATATTTTTGGAATATTTTCAAATGACATTCAATATATGATCAAAATCAGCAGAGGCAGTTATATATCATTATATCTCAATCGGCACCAGTACTGCCTTAAATGATTTTAGGAATTTCACAGTT